ATAGAGATTGCATTTAATCTGTAGATTACTTTGGATAATTACTTTGGATAATATGGTCATTTTAATGATATTGATTCTTCCAACCCATGAGTCTGGGATTTTTCTCCATTTATTTGTGTCCTCTGCGATTTCTTTCATCAAATTTTATAGTTTACCTTGTAGGGATCTTTCACCTTCTTGGGTAAATATAGTCCTAGGTATTTTAGCTTTTTGGCTGCTATTGCAAATGGAATTGAGTTTTTGATTTGATTCTCAGCCTGGTTGCTATTGGTGTATAGCAGTGCTACTGATTTGTGTGTGTTGATTTTGTATCCTGAAACTTTGCCGAATTCACTTATCAAGTCCAGGAGTCTTTTGGAGCAGTCTTAAGGGTTCTCTAGATATAAGATCATATTGTCAGCATACAGAGATAGTTTGATTTCTTCTTTTCCAATTTGTATATGCTTTATTTATTTTTCTTGCCTGGTTGCTCTGGCAGGGACTTCCAGTACTATGTTGAATAGTAGTGGTGAAAGTGGGCATCTTCGCCTTGTTCCAGTTTTGAGGGGGATTGTGTCCAACTTTTCTCTATTCAGTATGACATTGACTGTGGCTTTGGTCATATATAGCTTTTATTATTTTGAGGAATGTTCCTTCCATGCCTATTTTGCTGATGGTTTTTATCATGAAGGGATGCTGGATTTTATCAAATGCTTTTTCTACATCTATTGAAATGGTCATATGATTTTTGTTTTTAATTCTGTTTATGTAATGGATCACGCTTATTGACTTGTGTATGTTGAACTACCTTGTATCCCTGGGATAAAACCCACTTGATTATGGTGTATTTGTGTGTGTGTGTGTGTGCTGTTGACTTTGGTTTGCTAATATTTTGTTGAGGATTTTTGCATCTATGGTTAGACAGGATATTGATCTGTAGTTTTCTTTTTTTGTTGTGTCTTTTCTTGGCTTTGGTATCAGAGTGATACTGACCTCGCAGAATGAGTCAGGGGATTCCTTCCTCTTCAATCTTATGGAATAACTTCAGTAAATTTGGTACAAGTTCTTCTTTGAAGATTTGGTAGAATTCAGCTGTGAGTCCATCAGGTCCTGGACTTTTTTTGTTGTTGTTGGGAGACTTTTGTGTACTGTTGCAATGTCACTACTCATAATTGATCTGTTCAGAGTTTCTATTTATTCTTGATTCAAGATTGGGGGGGTTTATGTTTCCAATAATTTATTCATTTCCTCTAGATTGTCTAGTTTGTATGCATAAAGATGTTCATAATACTTTCAGGTGATATTATGCATTTCTGTTGTATCCGCTGTAATATCTTCGTTGTTACTTCTGATTGAACTAATTTGCATATTCTCACTTAGTTTCTTGATGTAGCTAGTGGTCTGTCAGTTTTGTTTATCTTTTCAAAGAACCAACTTTTTGTTTCATTGATCCTTTGTATTTTTTTTCACTTTCATTTAGTCTTGCTCTAACCTTCATTATTTCTTTTCTTCTGCTAACTTTGGTTTGGTTTGTTTATGTTTTTACATTTCTTGAGGTGTGCTATCAGGTTGCGAATACGTGATCTTTCAGTCTTAAGCACCTAAAGTACTATATATTTTCTTCTGAGCACAGCTTTGACTGTGTCTCAGAGGTTTTGGTAACTTGTTTCATTGTCGTCATTTGTCTCAAGGAATTTTTAAATTTCCATCTTGATTTCATTGTTGGCCCAAGAATCATTCAGGAGCAAATTGTTTAACTTCCACGTCTTTGTTTGGTTTCCTAAGTTCTTCTTGGAGTTAATTTCTAGTTTATTCCACTGTGGTCTGATAAGGTGCTTGATATGACTTCAATTTTTTTTTTTTAATGTACTGAGACTTGATTTGTGGCTAACCATATGGTCTATCTTGGAGAATGTTCCATGTGCTGATGAAAAAAATGTATATTCTCTAGTTTTGGGATGGAATGTTCTGTAAATATCTATTAGTTCAATTACCTCTAGAGTGCTGTTTAACTCCAGTGTGCCTTTATTGATTTTCTGCCTTAATAACCTATCTATTGCTGTCAGTGTGGTGATGAAGTCTGCCATTATTATTGTATTCCTATCTCTTTTTTAAGGTGTAGTTGAATCTGTTAGATAAAGTTTGGGGCACTTGTGTTAGGCTCATATATATTTAAAATTGTTATGTCTTCTCATTGGATTGATCCCATTGTATAATAGTCATCTTTGCCTTTTTTTTTTACTGTTGTTAACTTAAAGTCTGTTTTGTCTGATATGATAATGGCTACTCCTGCTCATTTTTGGTTGCCATTTGCATGGAATATTTTTCCCCACCCCTTTACCTTGAGACCTCCTGTCTACCTATAGATAGGAGTATTTGTGAATTAAGTGGGTCTCTCGAAGGCAGTAAATACTTGGGGTGTGTGTGTGTGTATTTTTAATCCATTCTGCCAGTCTATATTTTTTTAGTATAGGGCATTGAGACTATTTACATTCAGCATTAATAATGATGCATAAGGTGCAATTCTACTCATCATACTGGTTTTTATCTGGTTGCTTTATTTATTTTACCTATTGTGTTAATGTTCCATAAAATCTATGGGCTTTATGATTTCCAGCATTTTTCTACTCATGTATTTTGTTTCAGTATTTAGGACTTCTTTGAATATTTCTTATAAAGCCAGCCTAGTGGTAACAAATGTCCTCAGTGTTTGCTTGTCTGCAAAGGACTTCATTTCTCCTTCATTTATGAAACTTAGTTTTGCAGGATACAAAATCCTTGGCTGACAGTTATTCTGTTTGAGGAGATTGAAAATGGGGCTCTGGTCCCTTCTGGCTTGTAGGGTTTCTTCTGAGAAATCTGCTGTTAGTCTCATAGGTTCATCATTGCAAGTTATTTGTTGCTTTTGTCTGACTTCTCTGAGAATTCTTTCTTTCACAGTAACTTTGTTTAGCTAGATAATTATATGCCTTGGGGATGTACTTTTTGCAGTGAGTCTTTGGAGATCTTTGGGCTTCTAGTGTCTGGAATTTAGGTCTCTGGCTAGACTAGGGAAGGTTTCCTTCATTATTCCCTGAAATAGATTTTCCAAACCTGTTGCTTTCTCTTCTTCCTTGGGAACACCTATGATTCTTAGGTTTTTGACATTTACATAATCCCATATTTCTTGGAGACTTTGTTCCATTTTCTTGATTTTTTTCTTTATTGTTGCCTAATTGAGTTCATTCAAAAGCCTTGTCTTCAAGTCTGAGATCCTTTCCTCTGCTTGGTCTAGTCTACTGTTAAAATGTCATTCCACTGCATTTTGTAAATACTTCTTCTATTTTCAGAATTTCAGCTTTTTTTTTTCTTTAGTGAGAAAATAGGACTTATTGAGAGGACAGAAAAGTTCCCTCAGAGGAAGGGTACCACCGGAAGTTGCCCCCCCCCCCTTTAAAGGTGTCTATTGCTTTGGAGAATTTTTCGTTCACGTCCTGGATAGTTTTTTAAATTTTTATGTCAGTTTTCAGTTTTCTCCTGAATTTCCTTGACCAATTTTTTCATCAAACTTTTGCATTCAATATCTGAAATTTCAACAGTTTCATTTTGGTTAGGGTGCATTGCTGAAGAGTTAGTGTGGTCTTTTGGAGAAATTTTTTCATATTTTCAAAATTATGTTTCTGATTCCTTCTCACTTAGATAGATGATTTCTTCTTATTTGTGGTTGGCAGGAGGCTGACATAGGCACTGTAGGGTTCCATTGGTTATATATAGCCTTGTTGTGGTGAGTTTTTCAATTACCAGATGTGGCAGCCCTGTGCTCTGTATCTGTATTGGTTCATGGCATCCTAAGTGTCCAGAATGGCTTGGAAAGTATTGCTATCTGGCACTGGGATCAGGCCTTCCCCAAAACTGAGGCATTGTATCCGATGTGGCTGGCCATACTGTTTACCTCCAGCCAGGAGGTAGCACTTGCAGGAGAAAGCTGGCTACAATGGTGGCTGTAGGATTTCTCATTGGAGAGTGTTGCTCCCAAGGAAGTGCTCAGCCAGCTTAAGCAGAAGGAGGATCTCTGAGAATTTCCTGAGTTTTCTGTTTGAGTCTAGACTTCTGGGTTCCTGCAGGGGAAAGGAGATGGAACATGCAAGTATGCACTCTTAGTTGCTCCAGTGGGAATTAAAATGGCATGAGCTTCAGAAAGAACATGTTTTTACAAAAGTGTGAAGGAGTGAGGACTGCAGACAGTACTGGGAAGCAGAACCATCAACCTTCTGTCCTGATGCTGTAGCACATGAAGTAGGCAGGAGTGAACAGCTTCAGCCTGAGAAGGTTGTTCTTCAGTGAGCCCTGTTACAGACAAGGGATAGAAAAGCAATGCCTATTCAGTGACAACATTGAGAATGTAGGCATGTTTGTTTACCCTCTGCCTGGGTCTACAGTGAGACTGGTAGCAGAAACAGAATGGTCTAAGATTTACATTTAGTTTCACAATAGCCAGGGTTCAAGGAGGAAGTTTTGGTTTCAGCTCTGCCTAGGTAGCTCTGAGACTATACATACAGTATTTAAATAACTTTCTTGATTTAAAATTGCTTGATGTTCAAACAAATTATGATATTTCAAGAGCTATCCATTAGTAAAAGTTCAACTTACTTTGTACTGATATTTGTTCTGTTTTAATGTTAACAGTCATAAAAAGGTTTGTGATAAATCCATATTTCTTGTAGGTGTGCTATATTGATTTTTAGATGTAAGGGTTTGTTATCTTGGGTAAGTTTTTAAGCCTTTTTGATAGTAAACTTGAATTTTCTGTTAAAACCTCATGTGTACATGTTCACTTCTGTTTGTTTTTAGACCTGTTTTCTGTTATACTTTTGTTTCTTATTTCTTAAGTTTCCTAGAGAATGATAATAATTGTACAATTACTTCATTAAAGGGAGATTAAATAGTGACATACTAGTGGCATCAGTTCTCTTGTGTATATTTGTAGTGACCATAAAGGGAGCATGGGCCTTTAAGAGCATGTTTATTTTCTTGTTTTTCAGGGACCATGGCTAAACCTGCTGGATCCCTAGCCAGAAGCAGTAGCTTGTGCCGCTCTCGTCGCAGCATTGTGCCATCCTCACCACAGTCTCAGCGAGCTCAGCTTCCGCCACATACTCCTCACCCATCACACCCTCAGCACCCTCACCATCCCCAGCTCACACAGCACTCGCTGCCTTCCCCCGACCCTGATATCCTTTCAGTGTCAAGTTGCCCTGCGCTTTATCGAAATGAAGAGGAAGAGGAGGCCATTTACTTCTCTGCTGAAAAACAGTGGTATTGGCAATGAATAAGCTACTATGCCTGTTGGGGCTGGGTGGGGGTGAAATGCGAGGAGGGGAGTGGAGGCAGGGAGGAGTGGTGCGTTGTATTCATTTTCTGTGGCTGCATAACAAGTGGCCACGGGCTTAGCCTCAGACCCATTTATTAGCTCTCAGTTCTACATCAGAAGTCCAAGAAAACCCAGGCTCTCACAAGGCTAAAATCAAAGTGTTGACCAGGCAACATTCTCAGCTGGAGCTTGGAGTCTTCTTCAAAGCCCCTGAGATTGTGGCAAAGTTCAGTTTCTTGTGGTTATAGGACTGAGGTCCTTGTATCTGTGCTCACTGTCAGTTCCTAAAGGCTCCCACTGCTTCTTGCGCATGACTCCATCTTCGAGGCCAGCCACAGGGAATTTCCTTTCTGTAAATCCCTCCTTGGCTTTGACTCTCTGACTTCTATCTCTGATCTCTAGACTCATATTTAAAAGGCTCACCTGGATAATAATTTTTCTATGTTAAGATCTACTTATTTGGGGCTTTAATCTTTTCTGCAGAATCCCCTCACATCAGCACCTATAATATGCTTGATTGACTAACTGGAAGAAGGTGTATGTATACCAAGGGTCTGAAAATTTAAGGGCTATTTTAGAATTCTACCCACCATGGATATGTAGGTAGATATTTCAAGATATAACTGCTTAGAGGCTGCTAGACACAGTTGACTCAGGCTTCAGAATATAAACTTGTCAAATGAACAATTTTATGTCTAAAATGGAAAAGCATGAACTCAAATATACTTGAACATAAAGAAACATCAGATATGACTGTTTAAAATATTTGTGGTAACTTAGCGATTTATTCTGTTATGTGCTGGTCCTTGGTGGCACACAAGCTATATCATATGTCAAAGATTTAGGAAAATGTTGGGAACTTAAAGGAGGAAATTATATTGATAACCTAATTGTTTATACAGAATGGCTGTAGCTGCAGTGTATTGCAGTCCAGCATAATGCCAGCACTCTGTGAGACCTATTGCCTCGAGGAGCTCTGTTTCTGAACCATATTCCTCTTTTGGAGCAATGCTAGTTTTTGATTTTGCCTTATGACCTACCATCCCCCTATGAGAAACAAGGAAATGGGCTGGATTCCCTCACTGATCCCTTCTAGCTCTCTATCTTGTGACTCTTTAGAGGTCATTACCACCTAGTAATCATTAATCAGCCATAATTGTTTCATCTACTAGTAAAAGAAGACATTGTGATTAGCAAGTGACCAGTGTAGCATAATCCTAAGGAAATAATCCAGGTTTTGTATGCTCATTGCAGCTGGAGAGTTGGATGCAGATTTGCTTGGTTCGCACTTTATGATTAGCTTTTTTGTCATATGACCATAGTCACCAGCAAGATGGCTTTACTAACAGAGCTGATCTTGTGTGACTTCTAGAAACTAGAAGGAAAACTCTAGAACTGCACAATCTAGTAGAACTTTTTGCGTTGATGGAATGTTCAGTCCTCATTTAAAATAGCAATGTCAAAAATTCATAGCTAGTTCATAAATACAAGAAGAATTTTAATTCAGAAAACTTTTTCTTCTCTTTATTGCAGTCTCTCAACTGTTGATCTACCAAAATCCTTACAGAATAATAATAATGATAATAATATTTACTGATTGTTTAATGTTCTATGCATTTTGCACATATATAATCATTTAAACCTCAGTTTGAGTTATCTTCTTATGCATGTGTTAAACTTAAATTAATTCAACTACATGTCAAGGTTGGGGAAAAAAGAACTAGAAAAATAGCATAAATGGTACACATGATTAAGTTCCACATTCTAAAGAATATATACTCTGAAAGAAAGTGAAATTTCAAGTTGTGCTATACCTACACTCCAAATTTGGTCAGTTATGTGAAAGAAGTAACACTTTTAGATTGTTATTTGTTACAGAATTAGAATGTTGGAACTGGAAGTAACATTAGCAGTTAATCAAATTCTCTCAACATATAGGAAAGTTGAGACCTAGAGAGAGCAAGTGATTTACTGAGGGTTGCACAGCTGGTTAATGGCTGGACCATGATAGGAATCCAGGTCTCCTGACTTAGATCAGTATTCTTTTCACATATTGTTTAGAGTTTAGAGACTAGTTTGGAAAATACTTTTAGTCTAGATTACAATTTCATATACAAAGTAGCTAAGCCATATAGCAGAAAAGAAAGTAAATTCATAAAATTGTACCAAAATCAATGTCTGACTTTGGAAGCTGAACAGCTTCAGGGAACCATGATATATTCTATTCAGTTAATGGATATCCACTCCAAAAAGCAGCTTTTCAGAAAAGTCCCTACTGGTGATTGATTTAGGAGTCTGATCATTTCTTTATATCTGAAGTGCCTCTTGCCATCTCTTTACACCTCCTGTTATCAAAGTGTAAAAGCATTTGAGAATTATGCAGCACATGCAAGTGTGGTATATGAAAACATTAGTTAAGTCTTATTTACTCAGGGGATTTCGTACCCATTGGGAGCTTGTAGTATAGCAAAGACAATCTTCACATACATGTGTGAGTAAAGTATTTAAAAGTGACTATAAATAAATTCAGCAATCTAATGTATATCTAAAACATGGTACTGACGTAAAATCCTTGTAAAAAGTAAATACCAGACTTCCAGTAGCAATGCATTACAATAACATGAAAAATGATAGTAATCATAGTCCATCCAAGGTAAGATATCGTTCCGTTTATTCATTCTATAAATATAAATTTAGCCCTTGCTATGTATTGTCCCTTGCTAATGACTTGAGCTGCCAAGACAAGTGAGTCAAGGTACCGGCCTAGTTCCAGCTGATGACTTATCATCATATATTCTTGCCTATCCATTCTGCCTTTAGCTCTGCTCCTTCTCCTACTTTATTTTGCCAGTGACTTTTTACTTTGACTTTGCCTTTCATTTTTTTTCTTAATCATTCTTTGCATGGAATAAACAATATTCTCATCAGGCTCAGTGCATAAAAGTGAATGAGATTAAGCAGTAAGGTTATTTTTTAAAAAGTGAATAAGATATGATTCCTGTTAAGATCTCATTCTGTTCATTCATTTATCCAACACATTTTTAAGTACCCAGTGTAGGTTTGCCACTATTTTAGTATGGAGACTACAGAAGTTAATAAGACCCTATGTCATTATTAAGCTTCCTTTTTTCTGAGAATACTGATTATAAACAAGTTAATATAAAATAACACTTTAGGTACCAGTAAGTTCTGGAATAATGAACAAAGACAGGTAACAGAAAAGAGAATGCTGTTGTAAATACATTGGTCAGGGTAGGCATCTCTGGGGAGATGGCAATAATCTGAATGCCATGAAGAACTAAGCCTCATGGAGATGGAGAATAGGTAATACCAGACAGAGGGAACATTGGGAGGCATCTCTGGGGATAGAGCAGTAACTGAATGCCTAGAAAATACATACCAGGCAGAGGGAATGGCAAGTGCAAAGCCCCGAGGGATCCCTGAGGAAGCCCCAAGGGAGTCCCAAGGTTGGTGTGTTGGAGGAACAAGGAGGACCCATGGAGGAGTGAGGCAGAGCTAGGGCATGCAGTTGGAGATATGGCCAGGAGCCAGATGTACGGTGCCTGGCAGGCTTTGGCTTTGGATCTTACTCAGAGTATGAGAGAAAGTACTGGAAAGTTTTGAGCAAGTGAATGATATGCTCGCTTGAGTTTTTTTTTTTTTCCCCCAATATTTTTTATTATGGTTTTGTGGGGTACAGTTAAGGGTTAGGTGTACAAGTATGTTTCATTCAGGCACCCTGTTGATAAGAGGTGTTTCCCCATCCCAAGACAGATATTTGCTACTGCTAATCCCATCTCCCTCCCCCCCCATAGTTTCCCAGTACCGTCAGTCATTTTCTTATAGTATTACATTGGATGTTCAAGGTCCATTATATGAGTGATATGAGTGAGAACATGTGATACTCGGATCTTTGTTTCTGTGAGAGGTCACTCAGTATTATAGACTCTAGTTCCATCCAGGTTGCTGCGAAATTCATGATTTTGTTCTTTTTTATGGCTGCATAGTATTCCATCGTGTATATGTATCACATTTTTAAATCCAGTCCTCTTTTGATGGGCAGCATGGTTGTTTCCAGGTTCTTGCTATTGTGAACAACGCTGCGATAACATACGTGTGCAGGTATCTTTTTTATAGAGTGATTTGAGTTCTTC